CCAATCACTTAAATCACTCTTAATTTTGGTGTGATAGGTGGGGGTATCAAATGTAAAATAATTATAGAGATCTTAAGTTTTGTGTGATTGTTGGACTCGTGGGGTATCAAATGTTAATCATGCAAAATAATTGTAAAGTTCTTAATTTTGGTGTGATAGGTGGGACTATCAAATGTAAAATAATAATAGAGATCTTGAGTTTTGAGTGATTTTTGGATCCATGGGGTATCAAATGTTAATTATGTAAAATAATTATAAAGCTCTTAATTTTGGTGTGATTGGCCATGGTGGAATCGTGGGAGTAACAAATTTAAATGACGTAAATTAAAGCAGATATGAAATGGTATTTTTAACCTTAAGGAATCAATATAATTTTTTGATAAATGTATTTGGACATGTTTTCTCATCAGTAGTGTGAAAATTATTTCACTCTAACGATCGTTATAGCTGCTTAATAAGCAATATTCGAATTGGTTGTGACGTTATTGGCCCCCACGTGATCTCTCACTGGTCCCCACGTGGCCTACTTTTGGTCCATTAGATCATGACGTCATAATGCCAAAATGTTTTGTTGTTTACACAACAATCCTATGGTTGCCGTGGCGTTATGATTACTAAGGAACCAATAAGCCAAAGCTATATTTTGTATATGACGTTACTGATCACGTGGGGGCCAATTTGATTGATCAGTTAGTTTTCAGTAGGACGACACATTGAAAAACCCCATTGTTGTTTACCAAACTTTATATCAAAGTGGTGTAGCGATATATGACGTCATCGCACTAATTGTTTCTGGTCCGTTGGCTACCATCTTTATGAGGTCCAATGAAACGGGAAACATTTAAACATTTGAAAATGAAAATGACGGATAGAATTCTACTGATCTCTTCTTTCCAACTATCTCATTTTAATGTTAGAAAAGTGCACATAAATGGGAGTAAAATGCAATCAAACACGTGAGACTTTCACTCATTTTGTACCCTATATTCGTGCGAAATTAACATTGATTAAACATAATCTTTTTAAATGTCTGAATCGCTTAAAAGTTAAAGTAAATACGATATTTTATAAGTACCAAATATCAATCATTTCCGATAAAATGCCTTCCTTTGTTACATTTTCTACGAAAACGGCTGGGCATAATTTTGGTAGAAATGTGTATTTTACGACGTTATATGCATGGTTGAATCCAAAAAGTAGCGTCATTCAGGAAATTATCATGTGTGCGTAAAATCATGTGGATATTTCATTTTGAGTAACTGAATTATCAAATTGACATATATATTGTCTTTGGAACATCACCTTTACACAGAATTATTTTCATAATGATTGCTCGATTTGTTCCATGATGAAATGCAATTTTAGACCTGGAGCTGACTCGTATCAAAAAGTATTTAGCAATGAGTTCAGGCTCACTGATTTTAAACATAGATAAAATGAACGAAAGGGAAAAGGTTATGTGTGCCTAAAAGCATGTGGATATTTAACTTTCAATAAATGAATTACAATTTTGATGTTTATATAATCTGAAGAACATCACCTTTACACATAATTATTTTTATAATAATTGTTCGATTTCTTTCATGATAAACTGCAATTTTAGACCTGACACGTTTTAAAGAAGTATCGGAAAATGTATTTAGGCCCACTGATTTTTAGGATAAAAGAAATGAGCAAAAGAAGAAAAGGTCACGTGTGCGCAAAAGCGTGTCAGTATTTGGATTTGAAGAAATGAATTAAAGTTTTGACATTAATATTATTTGTGAAGCATCACCTTAACATTGAATTATTTTTATAATTTTTGCTTGATTCCTTCCATGAGAAAATGCAATTATAGACCTGGCACGCGTATCAAAGAAGTATTTATGGTTGGCCTATTAGTATAAAGAATGCATGCGTTGTTTACGGGTGTGTAGGCGTTAATTACGCTCGTGTAGATGTAAAATTACGCCCGTGCTGACGAAAAATTACGCCTGTGTAGGCGTAAATTACGCCCGTGAAGAAGTAAATTCTACGGGCGTTCAGAATACATTTACAGGCGTGAACTTACGGCGTTAAAATTATTAATTACGGGCGTTAAGACTGTTATTTTACACGCGCTGAGAAACATCTTCACGCCCGTCGAGTTCATTTTAGCGCCGTGAATTATGAACCAATCAGCATCTTGCTTACATGATGATACGATGCATTATAGCTAAAAGTACAACTCCAAGATCCTTGTGCAAGTTAATAACATACTCATGATTGTGCCAGGAACAACTGTTGCAATTGGAGGCATATGAAATATTATTTCTTTTCTGGGTATCTCGGTGCACTATTTGTGCAAATGTGAAAGATTTACATCGTATATTAAATGAGTTATGTATTCCTGGAAATAACATGTGACATATAAAGACGGCTGCATAAAGATTCCAAAAAGTACACATCTCCCTAACACCAAATTTGAACATATGTTGGCTAGGTATACTAGGTATATAGGCTCATTTGACATTTTCAGTACATTTTCAAAGAATGCCAAATGCCAAATGCTAGATCTGCAGGATATAGTCTAGAGTCAATTTGCAGTTGATCAGATACTATAATTCTAGTATCTGGACACATCCTTTAGAGGGATACATTAGCGATCCGACTGTATAATGAGACTGTAAGCTGCAATGCGTGTGAGCTTAATAAGTCCCTACCTAGCCTACCTCTGAAGCCGACGCCTAGATTGGAGAATTATCCAAAAATCATCGTATTTAGAAACCAAACATGTATACCTTCTCAAAATACTCTGCAATTTTGTCGTTTCTACAATGGGTGTTGATAACTGCCAACACAGTACATGTCTCTTCAATTTGCCTTTTAATATAATTTGCTCTAAAAAATGAATACTTCTTTGGTTAAATCTAGTTCAATCTTGAACGAATATTTAAGGACCTCAATGCAATACACTAAAATGTAAGCAGGCTTCTGATTGTTGTTTACTAGCGCAAGTATCTCGGAGTTGCTCTTTTAGCAAGGATGCATTAAATCATCATGTAAGTAAGGTTCTGATTGGTTCATAATTTACGGCGCTAAAAATAAACTCCACGGGCGTGAAGATGTTTCTCAGCGCGTGTAAAATAACAGTCTTAACGCCCGTAATTAATAATTTTAACGCCGTAAGTTCACGCCTGTAAATGTATTCTGAACGCCCGTAGAATTTACTTCTTCACGGGCGTAATTTACGCCTACACAGGCGTAATTTTTCGTCAGCACGGGCGTAATTTTACATCTACACGAGCGTAATTAACGCCTACACACCCGTAAACAACGCATGCATTCTTTATACTAATAGGCCAACCATAAGTATTTGGCAATTGCGTCCAGTCTCATTGGTTTTCACGGTAAATGAAATAAGCAAAACTGGAAAAGGTCATGTTTGCGTAAATGCGTGTCAGTATTTAATTTTGAAGAAATGAATTAATTTTTTGACATTGATATTATTTGTGAAGCATCACCTTAACATAGAATTATTTTTATAATTTTTGCTTGATTCCTATCATGAAAAAATGCAATTATAGACCTGGCACGTGTATCAAAGAAGTATTTGGCAATTGCGTCCAGTCTCATTGGTTTTCAAGGTAGATGAAATAAGCAAAGCTGGAAAAGGTCATGTGTGCGTAAATGCGTGTCAGTATTTAATTTTTGAAGAAATGAATTAATTTTTGACATTAATATTATTTGTGAAGCATCACCTTAACATAGAATTATTTTTATAATTTTTACTTGATTCCTTCCATGAAAAAATGCAATTATAGTCCTGGCACGCGTATCAAAGAAGTATTTGGCAATTTTGCGTCCAGTCTCATTGGTTTTCAAGGTAAATGAAATATGCAAAACTGGAAAAGGTCATGTGTGCGTAAATGCGTGTCAGTATCTAATTTTGAAGAAATGAATTAATTTTTTGATATTAATATTATTTGTGAAGCATCACCTCTACGCAGAATTATTTTTATAATTTTTGCTTGGTTCCTTCCATGAGAGAATGCAATTATAGACCTGGTACACGTATCAAGGTTGTATTTAGAAATTGCGTTCGGTCTCCTTGGTTTTCAAGGTAAATTAAATGAGCAAAACTGGAAAAGGTCATGCGTGCTTAAAAGCGTGTGAGTATTTATTTTTGAAATTTTTTTTGACATTTTTGACATTTATTATATCTATGGGGAATCATCTTTACACAGAATTATTTTTTGATTCAACTTTAGTTCCTTCTATTAGAAAGGCATGGCTAAGATTGGTTCTTATGTACAACTGTAATGAGATTTTTATGTTTGAATCGCACAAAAAGAGATAATGTCACATGTGCGTGAATGCATGTCAATATCTTATTTTAAAAACTGAA